CCAGGGCTTCGTACCTTACGACATGTCTGACGTAGGCGAATTTTCGTGGCATTCTATTCTAAAGGCCACCATGGACGAAGACACCTGTGTTGCATGGTGCATGAAGGTCGGTCACCTACCCAACGCCGCGACATGCCCCAAGTGTGACCTGGCCATGTCCTTCGCGTTCAAGTCCAAGCCATGGCGTTGCAGACGTGCGGCGTGTACAGGCGGCGGGAGCGTTGAGCGTGGAATGCGGTTTGCGTCGTGGTTCAAGGGTTCCAAGATCCCTATGGCGAAGCTGGTGCGACTTATATTTGCGTGGGCGTCAAGAAAGCCCGTTGGCATAGTGATTGCGGAAGAAGAAATTGCGCGTGAGTCCGGTGTGGATTGGTACCAGTACTGCCACGACCTGTGTTCGGCGGAAATGTTGTGTGCCCCGATGCTGGTATGTCTATATATTCCTATATCAATATAGTCCTATATCTATATAGTCCTATATCAATATAGTCCTATATCTATATAGTCCTATATCAATATAGTCCTATATCTTTATAGACCTACTAGTGAACGTGACCCGGCTTCGCACGGGTGGGGGTGCGTGTGATGTGAATTAGTGCTGGTTGGGGTTTGACGTGGGATAATCTAGCTTTCACGGCTACATCTGCCTCAACGCTGATTGATTCAGTAGATATAATTGTGTGATTGGTTAAAATTAAATTCTATGCTTTCAGCCAATCAAAACGTGAATTTGACGCGGCTTTGCACGGGAGGGTGTGTGCGTGATGTGATTTAGTACTGGTTGGAATGGTTGTACTGGATTATTCTAGCATTAGCGGCTACCGTACTAATGTTTGTAAAATCCCCGTAATAGCGTATCCAACTTCCCTTCTATTTACCATAAAAAACTGTGCACACCCTAAGAACACCTCTGAAAACCCCGAAGAAAATACAAAAGTAAATCCCAGGACATCCCGTTGGAGAACGTTTAATGCTAATTCCCCGGGGTTACATGCAATGCAGGTGTTTGCTGGCGCAAACCCCTGAATTGCATGTTAACCCCTAGTCCAAATGTGGTTGACATTCCAGCTGAACATTTAATTGTTGAAACGCTCATTCTTGAAAAGTGAAATATTGATATGTTTGATTTACCATAAACAACTGTGCACACCCTAAGCACACCCCTGAAAACCCCGAAGAAAGTACAAAAGTAAATTACAGGACACCCCGTTGGAGAACGTTTGATGCTAATTCCCCGGGGTTACATGCAATGCAGGTGTTTGCTGGCGCAAACCCCTGAATTGCATGTTAACCCCTAGTCCAAATGTGGTTGACATTCCAGCTGAACATTTAATTGTTGAAACGCTCATTCTTGAAAAGTGAAATATTGATATGTTTGATTTACCATAAACAACTGTGCACACCCTAATAACACCCCTAAAAACCAAACCAAACCCCCAAGAAAGTACAAAAGTAAATCCCAGGACATCCCGTTGGAGAACGCTTAATGCTAATTCCCCGGGGTTACATGCAATGCAGGTGCTCGCTGATTGGTTAGGCATAGATAATTGTGTGATTGGTCACAAAATATCAGTTTCGAGCCAATCAAAACGTCGTAATGCAAGATGAGCGAATCACAGTTAAGGAAGGCGTTGTTTTGGCCAATCCAATAAAATATTTGCTTCGAGCCAATCAAAACGTCGATATCAATTATAAACGAATCAGAGTTGAGAAAGGCGTTATTATGGCCAATCCAAATTGCTGGAGTGACTGAGCTTATTCCACGCCGGCCAGAGCGGGCAGCGGCGCGTGCTGCGTCGTCGATATCTTGTCCTATAGATACAGTGTAAGCTATGTAGATACATGCTCATGCTCCTACATCATTGTACTACAAATGCGCACTAAGTTTGCACCAGTCCGCTACGTAGCGCGGAAATCCAGTACACTCGCTGTCGATGTCGCCGCAAGGCTGGATTGCCCAATTGCTCATATCTTCTCTTGTATAGTACATACAGCAACTTCAGTTACATGTGGATATTCGTCTATAACAGCGCTACAATCGCGCACTATCCTTGCGTCGGACCGCTCAGTAGCGCGGACACCCGGTGCAATCGCCGCCAGCCACGCCGCGGCATGGCTGATTTCGAACTTTGGCGGAATGCGGAAATTCGAGCAGACTGAACGCTGATTGGGTGAAGAGATAATTATGTGATTGGTCAAAAATAAATTCCTTGCTTCGAGCCAATCAAAACCATCAAAATGCAATATGGACGAATCACCGTTGAGCGAGTCGTTATTTTGACCAATCAAAAGGCTGGAACGCACACACGTGACAGACAAACAGACAGACAGACAAACAGACAGACACACTTACTACTTTATATATATAGATATATCCTATTCATTTTTGCGAGTAGGTTGGCGGCGAAGGCGTAACGGTCGAAATCGATGAGACCTCAATGAAGAAAAAGAGAAAATACAACCGCGGAAGGTACTACCCTGAGCACTGGGTATTTGGTGGGGTCGACAGGACAACGAAGAAATGGTTCGGCGTCATTACAGGGGCGGACCGGACAAAACCAACGCTGTCGCGGCTCATCAAGAAGCACATTGCCCCTGGAACCAACATCATGTATGTAACTATATAGTTGTTTATATACAATACTACATAGGCCGATATAGGTCATATAGGCCTATATAGATCACTATATAGTGTTATATACGTCTATGTCGTCTAAAAATGCTTCTAGATTGGACAAGTTTGGCTCATACGTGTCGGCGAATGAACGCCACAACCTGACGAACAATCCACTGTTGGTCGACCAATCGTATGGTCACCAGTGGGTGAATCATTCAGCGAACTTTGTCAACCCAGCTAACGGCGCCCACACGCAATAAATTGAAGGTTTGTGGGAAATGCGGATCAAGCGCTTCTCCAAAGCGATGCGCGGGATACACAGACCCCATCTGCCTTCATACCTGGACGAATACCTTTGGCGAAGCTGGTATTTTTCTCCAGGTGCAGATGGTAAGGCGTATTTTAAGGGCTTAGTGTGAGCTATCCGCAGGCATCACCAGTACAGTAGTGTCATGGTGTAAAATAATCTGAACATTAAGCAGTACTATTAATAGTACATGATAGGTACTACGAAGTATATAGGACGTATATACAGTAATATATAGGTCCTATAGATATATATATACTATACTCAGTACAGATACAGCGTACTAGTGTACTAGTACACACTATTTGCAATCGGCCCACGTAAAGTTGTTTTAAACAGCTATATATGCCTATATAGCGTCACTGGGGGGTTAACCGAATAGAGCTGCTGTGTCGACGGATGGGTGGACATTTGTGGTCCGTTGCCAAGTAGTTCGGACCTCAACGTCCTGGACCTCGGCTTCGTGGTATCGATCCAAGCACTACAATACAAGATGGTGAGTCGGTCGATGGACGATGTGATCGAAGCTACATTGTCCGCCTTCGAGGGTCTCAGTAGTGATAAGTTGAGTAGCATCTTCCTTACCCTGCAGGCGGTGATGCGCCTTCTACTGAAACACCACGGCGAGAACAACTTTAAGTTGACCCACTTGAAGAAGGATACATTGAGACGTGCTGGAACCCTCGTGATGAACGTCACATGAACTCATTCCTCCAGCTGTCCAGTCCTTGAGTCGATAAGATTTATAGCCAATGAAATGTATGTATTTCATAATCAACCAATCACAATAATATGGTCGCAGTATTGTGGGAAAAGTGCAATCTTGAAGTGGTCACAGTAAAGAAGGACAGAGGAAGTACTACGTACGTAGTACTTCCTCCGTGCTGTCTGTTTGGGCGAGATGGATGCAAAGAAATCTTCTAGTAACGTTAGGCCAATTTTGATGCGTTTTTTGTTAATCTATTCGTCTGGGTTTATATTTACTGCATCCAGAATATTGAAGGCCTAACTTTAAAACTGTGCTCTACGTTTTGGTTTAAAAATGCATGTGAACACTATGGAATTCATCGTGTTATTATGTGAATGCTGCCGATTTTGGTTATTAAAATTGCTCAATAATTAAATAAATCTTAAAAATCTGATACAGTAATACTAAGTGTTAGTATTACTAGTTATATCTGTAACGGTGGGATGAACAGGGAACGAAGATAAGCGCTTGACGCGTTCGCGCAATGGTTAGTGCGATGGCATCCAAGATGATTGAGGAAGGGGCCAGGTTCAAGCCCCTGGCAGCGTCAGACTCTTCCATTTTCGAAAAAGGAAATATACAGTAAAAATTTTATACAAATTTGAAGTAATATAATTCGTTTACAGTAGTCGACAACCGCGAGGGTGCCTGCCAAAAAAGAATCAATACAAGGAGGTTTACTGAGTTTTCCACAATAAAGCTGGATGTTAAGAAGCGACCAATAAAAATCGAGGAAATTTATTACATCTCTGATTATTTTCCACTCGAGTCGTTACTACTTGTCACGCTGCCGCCATCGCTGCTGCCTTCTACGCTTTCATTGTCACTCGCTTCGACTTCTTGTAGCCCCTTCATGTACTCGGCCAGCTTGTAGAGTCGTATGTCGGCCTTGTGAATACAGCCCTTGATGCTGCGGGGTGTCAAGTCCTCAAAAGCTTCCATCAGCCGCACATGCACGTCTTTGAATTTCGTGTCCTGTGTGTACTGACGTAGCATATATCAAAAACCATATATATATATCAATAACGCTGTGTATTGTATTTTGGTACTATACTTGGCATTTTACGATAGCCCAGACAATCTCAATTGGTTGCAGGTCACTATGGTATGGTGGTGTGTACACCACTTGATGCCCTAAGGCACGTGCCATAGCTACAACCTCAATGTCAATTTTATTGACATGCACACTTATCTTTTTCCAAAGTGCAGCTTTAGTTTCATTTGTAAACGAAATGTCGTACTTCGTGCAAGCATTTTGTAGGACACTCTTTTTTTGTCCATACTTAGGCGTTTTGATATGAAGACCTTTATGGTATTTGGCATTGTCCATTACTATAACAGCATTTTTTAATCCAAGATCTTCTATTTCGACGAGAAGTTTGGAAAACCAACTCACAAAATACGTATGATCAAACATTCCGTGATAATCCTTTGTTTCAGGTTTACCAGTTCGTTTTCCTCCTTGAAATATATCCAAGCATAAGAGTTTGCTATCCATACAACCACTATCTAAAATGGCAGCAATAAAGCAAAATCTTTCACCTTTGTGTTTTTCTTTCACTTCTAGATCAAGTTCATCACTAGCATCATATAATGAATCATCATGCCGACTACAATGGTGGTGAATATAACTCTCATCCAAATATATAATAGGCCGTCGGTTGACATCGCCCGACACAATATCACACATATCAGAAACATATACATCACGATGCTGTAAATTAGCATCGGACATACGGAGGCCTAGACCTCTTTTTTTCTTTCCCCTTTTGTAACCCAGTTTTTACAGAGCCCTATGGGTCGTCCGGTACGCGGCTAGAGTGGAGGATTCCGACTCTGGATCAAAATCCAAGCGGTGTTGGGACCGCAGAAAGTGAGCAACATCTTTGGCGACGGTTCGTTGACGAGATTTACGACGTTGGCGTACAAATTCTTGGATGATCTGTGCCAGTGTTGTCGTCAGAGGAAGCCTTGTACGGAGGAACATGTCGGGCGATGCTTAGGGCTTGGTCGTTGTGGTGCCCTTGTCTACATACTCATTCCAAACCTGTTGGACCAACTGTTCCTTGCGCCGTAGATAGCGTGCGGCTGTGCGGCTGGCTGCAGCGGTACCTTCTTTGCGAAGCTGTGCGTTTACCATTAGCATGTCGAGTATCTCGTTCTTTGACACGTATCGGGAGCGCGAACGCTTCACAAACTCGATGGCTCGTTCGATGTCGCTTGGTTGGTGGGGATCAGTAGGCATCGTTGGTACTGTATGTGAGGCTGGTTGGTGTCGAGTATCAGAGCCAATGTGAGTTTGCATGTGTAATGAATGAAGTTTTATTGTATTTTTGGCTGTCTCTCAATTGTTTGTATTATATGTAAGAGTTTATATTTGATAATAGAGTGAGATTCGAAAGGTTTTCAACTTTTGCGGTATCATAGCTGAGCGTGTATGCCGTTTCAAGACCTGTTTGTTTTATAGTTTTTTAGCGTCTTCCCAGCGCTACAATTTCATATTCAACTTTTCTTTATTGCGTTTTTGTAGCTAAAGTTTTTGCCAAAGGCACCCTCGCGGCTGTCGACTACTGTTAGTACATTATCGAGACCCATTCACACAGATGCATGAAACTGCAGCCAGCCACCACCTATCCAAAAGAAACGCCGCCAATGCTACTAACAGATGTGTTCAGTGACTTGACTCGGTGACCACCGCAGCGCTCGATACCGCCGGTTCGACGAAAATCGCGCCTTCGGCCGAAATGACAGCAAGCACATGAGTGGTAAGGCACTTTGTCACTTCTTGGATGATACGAGTGCTGGTAGGCTTCCTTCATGTATCCCGTTGCTTGGATCCATCAAACGAACATACGCGTTCTCCAAATGCTTGGGAGTCGATGGACAGAACTTGCCCGGCGCGTCTCGAGCCATCCCCAACGTGGCAGAGTGGCAGACCGATGGCGGTGGAAACAGTCGTTCACGTCCTTGTTCAAGGAGCAGTCACACGGCATCAGTTTTGGACTGGCCAGCAAACCGTGTGCCACCATTAACGCCCAACGCGCAAGGTATCCCTCGTCAGCCATCCATTTGATTGTAGACTTACACGTCATTTGGGATAGGGTATCGAGCATGAACACCCTATCGTCGGCGTGCTTCGTGTCGGCCATAACCGCTACCGACGCATCAACGATGTGCTTGATTAAAGCTGACAGGATGGATTATCGTGTGCTGGCCTTTGACATCTTTCGAGGCGGAAAGTCTCAGCCCAAGGAGCCCGAAGACTACCACGGTATGTTCAACCACGAATATTTTATCAAGTCGTTTGAATCGTTGCTGAACAAGTTGGCCACGTTGGGAATCCAGAATGCGTACATCGTTATGGGCAACGCGAAATACCACAAGGGACGCCCTCAAGGAACCCCAAGTAGTCGTCAGTGCAAGAAGACCCTCCAAAAAATGTGAGCTACCTAGGGCATTTCCTACGCGGAAAAGGATTTCGAGAGCATTTTGTGGTAAAAGCTGTCGGAGTACATTCAACGAGAAGTAAAAACAACTCGGTGTCCCTTCGACACCGAGTTGTTTTTACGCCGCCCCATCACTCAGATTTGCAGCCAATCGAATTGGTCTGGGCGATTGTGAAAGGGCAAGTCGGGCGCCGCTACTGTGAAGGAACCGGTTTGTCTGAGGTCAAGGAGCGCCTCCAACAAGCATTTGACGACCTGAAGCCCAGTTCTATTCAAGGCTGCATCAAAGCCTCCGAGTTAAAGCTGCAAAAGCTTTACGATCATCTTGTTGAAATTGACGCCATTGAATCGGATGAGGATTATTCGGCACAAAGTAGTAGTGTCACTGATGATAGCGATTGTGAGCACTCTAGTTAACAAACTTAACCTTCATACATATAAATACTCTTAAAATATATTTGTACTTGCAATAAAATTTCGAAAGTATAGTTATACTCGCTAATTGTATATCTCTAGAAGTCTATATGAATTTGTCGAAATCACTCAATGCTGTCGGGGACTTTAAGGGTCTGGTTGAAGTAAAACCTACCTTTTTTTTTTCGACGACTTTTTGGTTGAGAAAAAGTTGGTGCTGGTTGAAGTAATTCGGTAGATATAACAACTGGTCAGAGTAATGTGTCGGATAGTAGCGGTCACAAGGACCAGTTTCATGGCCAATCACTCACAATGACGGAGCTTGGGCAACCAGAAGTGGCTGCCGAATACGGCCCGGCAGCGAAGAAGCCAAGGACATCCAAACCGACGATCAAGATATCCCCGGTGGACAAGAAGAGAGCCACATAGACCAGTGACATGATTGCAGATCTCATGACGATCCTGTTTAGCGAGAGAGCGAAGCGCAAGTTCAACGCATGCAAGACGGCAAAGGAAAAGGATACATGGTGGGCTTTCGTAACCGCTCGCCTTAACATTAGGGCTGGTGTTAATTACGATGTCAAGCAAGTGACGAATCGATTCGCCGCGTTGAAACGGAGTATCGATCCATGTGCCAAGCTACCGAGGAGACTGGCAACGTCGAGGAATCAATCGACTACCCAGACCACTGGCAGATACTTGTTGAATATTTTCAGGTTCATTATATATATATTTGTATATGCAACTTTTACATTATTATGATTTTGTTGGAATGCTTTGGAATGAACTCGTCGCAAATTATGGACTCCTTTAGGACAAGTTTGACGAGACCCTGGGAGACTCCGACGACGGCACCAGAAGTCGCCCAAGCACTGCCAAAATTAGTCCGGTCGCGCACTCTCCAACAATTCCTCGGGCAGTCGTAGCGGTGAAATCGTTGGGTGATTCGTTGGAGGCGGGGCTTTCCAGAATGGCAGACGCTTTGGTTACGATGGCCAGTTCGAAGACGTCACCCCAACTTGCATCGGTTGTGGATTTGTCTTCACTTGTAGACAAAATTGACATTATGCTGCAGTTGCAAGCGGCAGCACAAAAGGAATAGGCAGCACTCAACAAAGTCCTACTTAAGTATTTGAGTCGCTTATAAAGTTGATTAGTAAGATGTTAAAGTAACTTCACATATGAACATGTAACTGCTATTAACGCTTTCACAAATACTTAACTACTACTTTGATATATTAATAGTTTCATGAACTCACAAGTACAAGGATACAATATAATACTTAATTGCATTTCGCTTGTGCAGGGCAGTTTCACGGCTCGACGTCAGCACTGACCAAGTCTCTTCGTGCACATGAAGTCCTAAGTATGGGCCAATTCGGTCCGTAATTCGTAGGTTATCGCCGGCATCGATCGTAAGGCCGTGCAACACCATGCAGGCAACGATAGTTCGACCACAACTTCTTGGAGTTTCCATGTTTAAGGTGCGCTTCAGGGCACACCACCTCCCTTTCAGGCCGCCGAATGTCATCTCGACAACGATCCGTGAATGAGACTGAAGATAATTGTATCGTGATTCCCTTCCGGGCATCCCAGTGTATATCGGGTAGGGTACCATCATGTATGTGGACAGGGTGTATCCAGAATCACCGATGAGATGCATGTACGCCGGCAAAATAGCTTGGACATGGCGCCCCAAGCTCGACATATGCCACACATCTTTGTCACCGCACGACCCCGGACGCAAGGAATACTCCATAAATCGCCCACGGCCGTCTACCGTTGCTTGCAAGTTAATTGCGGCGAACCCTTTGCGACAAATCCAACTAGAGCACATCAATATCTATCAATACTCTACATCAATTTAAGTATTAATGCATTCAAATATTTCCACATTCATATGGCTTTTCCATTCTAAAAAGAGAACCATCAACTTCCCCGCCGATGTCGGGGAATCCAGCTCTGCGCTCGAATGTGTCAGCAATGGCTATCCATTGTTGTTCACTTTGGGGGAGTTGAATAACGGACGAACTCAACGCAATAATATGATCCATGACCTAAATACGAATTACTCCCTCTGTCCCACAATTGTGGAGCGAATCAGTTTTTTGGCTTGTGCCTCCTTGAATAAAATTACGAGTCGCTGCAAAACATAATCTTGTCAAAGATAAAGTTGTAGAGTTTGTAACGATACAAAACTGTCTCACGCAACCCGAAAACGGAATTCACGATTTTTGACGACGCCAATCGATTCAGGAGGGGGGGTTACCCCGAGAACCCTCCCACCGACCACACCAAGCTAGCCGACTACCTATGGCAATAACTTCCACTTGATTATACAACATGTACATCTATCTACTCATCTGTACTAATTGGTTCAATGCCAATATCATTCAGCACACTCATGACATCGTCGGAGGACTCGCTGTTCAACGCGATGCATTCCAGCTCAAAGGACAGTTCGTATGGTTTGTTGTAAGTTCAATGTTCAATATGCAGCGGAGTATCGCTTCGCGCTCGTCGTTGGTCAAGTCCCGCCTTCCAGGTGCCATTTTGAGTGACATATGAGTGGATGTATGATCAGAGTGATGGTTTATACTTGAAAAATGTAAATAGACTTTCGGCCTGGAGTTGAAAATGTTACGTTAAGAAGTTTCAAGCGCTGCGTACATCATGTTAAAGCGCTTGGCGCGCTTGTCATTCTCGTCCAATCAGCGCTGTAGAATTCGAAGCGAGGCGCAATACATTGGATTTTGAATTACACTCTCAATTATAATGACGAGACATGTCCCCCCTCCCCAAACTCGCTCCACAATTTTGGGACGGAGGGAGTAAACTCTCAATAATATAATTCTATGATACTAGTATATAAACCTCATTCACGTTGATAATTGTCGTGGCCTTTGCGACTGCGAACAATGCTGCCGTTGCCGCGAATCCCCCTTCTTGAGACAAGTAGCTGAGTGTCATGGCCACCCTCATCCGAATGTCAACAAAGGCGTTCATTGCTGGTAAGCGATGACCTTGATCGCGCGCGAAAACCTCGAGACGATCCACAATTTGGTCAAATGTGCACCTGCTGACACGCAATTTGCGCTTGTACCACCCATCTACAGGGCAGGCTTCGACGCCTGTGACGTAGAACAGTTTTAGTTTAACAGTTTTAGTTGTGAGATGATACTGGCATAGGGCAGCAATGAACGCCTTTGTTGACATTCGGATGAGGGTGGCCATGACAAATAGGAATAATGTTCATAATGCGGTGAATGAGGTGCGTGTAGTGCGTGCTATGAGTTCAAAATGTGGTGAGTGCGATGTGTGCACCGTTAGTGAGTGCGTTGCTAGCATAATGCAGTGCGTGTAGAACGGTGGGTGAAGTGTGCTGCGTGTAGTGTGGCGCGAATAGTGCCTTCTCTCCCCGAACCCCACCACACCTCACAGCCCGCACCACCTACACCGCACAGAGCGCACAGCCCGCACCTCCACCTGGCATACACGCACAACCCGCACGCACCATATCACACACTGAACACGCTGCATGCACTAGAAGGCCGTGATGGTCGCTTGGTGGAGACCGAGGAGGACGATGGCGCAAACTGCATATGCATTGGCATGGCGAAACATGAACTGGATGAGGTGAATCAATGGTTATTGCGCATATTTAGTTTAGACCAATCATTTTGATGCAACTGATTTACTGTGACAGCCATTTCGTCGTGTTTTGATGGCTCCAGAGCACTAATGACGACGAAAATATCCCAAAAGACCTCCAAGAGGTCTTTTGGAACTGGAAACGACGCATTGTGTTCTGATTGGCTATTGGGCGTCAGAAACGATGAAAAAAGGTTACTGTGATTGGCCCTAACTTGTTGATAATTCATAGATACTCAAATTCAAGTCAAACCAACGATTTTTCAAAAAGTTGGTATTTCATGAAGTTTTATATTTGTGAGTGTTCACATAGTTAACGAGGAAAAGTGGGTGATTCCTTACTTCAACCAGGCCCCAACTGTAAAGTAAGTTTTGTTCGGCATTGAACGGTCTCTTCACGAAACGTATGCTGGGATTCATATTATCGAAATTAGTATGGAATACATAGTCCAAGTATTATGGTAGGTGCTCCTGTAGTGGCTGGTTTCGTGGTATTATTCGATTGGTCAATTGTGGTCAATTGAACACTTCGAGTGTCTTGATTGGTCGAATGATTCTGTCGGTTTGGAGCTATTCATTCCATGTGTAAGCTATTTCGCCTATATATTTCCTACGTAAATTGATTTCTACTAACATGTAAGGGCCTGTTCCAAGTACCACTCTGGTCCGGAATGCTTGTTGTACTCGACTTGTTATTGGCGGCATTTTTCTAGTATTCGATCTGATTGGCTTAACGGAAAGCGCTTTGATTCGCTGTATTTTGAATACCCAAATTCGGCGGGACGCCAAAAATGCACATCTCCAAAGTTCAACAAACACAACAATCTCAATAGCACACACCCGCTGAGAGTTCATTTCTCAAGTAATCGCCTCGCAGCAACCTCTATTAGTTTCCTCTGGTCCACACTATGCCCCAAGGACCATCACACTCTCGGCCGACATCTGTGACCTATGTCTCGACCCGCCGAAACCTCAGCAACGATGAACGAGTTGCTGCCTACCAGATTCTGCTGGAACGATCCATCGGAGGTGTGCTTCCTAATGGTGCATTTGTCACTACTGCTAAGTTCTTTGGCTGCCATTGGAGCATCGTGGACGCGAGGAAGGTCGTCCATAGCCGACGGAGCCGCACTCGCTAACGTCGACTCGCGACGCAAGGGTAAATTCTCTAATAATCTATATTTTGCCCAAAAATATTCATTTCTGCAGAAATTAACTTATACGGGTTTACGAGTTTAGGCAATTGTGGTGCCAAGAAAGTCCGCTCGGTAATCGACATCAAGATGGCCATCAAGGCTGTGCCACATGAAGGTCGCCAAACCCTCTGCTCCACCGCAGTTTTGTCTGGCATGCCGAAGATTGCCATTTTGCGGCACATGAAGGAGGCCCACGGCCTCGCGGCGCGCACAAGTCACCTGAAGCCGTTGCTGACGGACAACATGTTGGAACGGCTATGGTTCGCAGTCAGCTTCGTTCAGCCTGGGTTACGAAGAAACCACTCCTTCATCAACATGTACAAAAATGTACACGTTGATGAGAAGTGGTTTTTCATCACCAAGGTCAAGCGAAGGTTCTATCTCTACGACGACGAAGAGATGACAGAGTGACAGAGCGGGCCACGAAGTCGAAGAAATTCATCACCAAGGTCATGTTTCTGGCGGCCGTTGCTCGCCCACGTTACGACCCCCACAAGAAGCAAATGTTCGACTGCAAGATCGTCATTTGGCCGTTCGTCGAGGAAGAGGCTGCGGTTCGTTCAAGCAAGAATCGTCCCAAAGGCACGCTCGAGCTGACGTTCCAGAGCGTCAACGCTGACGTGTATCAAGACATGGTCATGGACGAGGTCGTGCCAGCGATCCAAGTCAAGATGCCAAGGGGTGTGGTTGTCAAGTTGCAGCAAGATAACGCAAGCCCCCACAGGTGTATGACGACCGAGCTCATTGCTCGTCATGGCGTTGACAGTATCGAAGTTGCCAACCAGCCACCAAATAGCCCTGACTTCAACGTCCTAGACTTAGGATTCTTTAATTCTATTCAAAGTCTGCAGCAGCAAAAGGTCGCTCGGTCAATTGGCGAGCTGATTGCTGCTGTGGAAGAGGCGTTTTATGAATTGCCAGTTACCATCCTGGGCAAGACATTCATAACTTTACAGAAAGTAATGGAGCTGTCGATGGGATGTAGTGGAGGCAGCACATACACAATGCCCCACATGAGTAAGAACGCCAGAATTAAAGACTTACCATCATTCAATGTTGAGTGCGATGCAACCATCTATCCAGGCGCACTTGACTCCTTGAATTGCCAAAATGAAGTATAACATTTGAAGTAATAAAATAAACGTTTCCAATAAAAATTTGGTCGGTCTTTATGTCATTTCAAAGTCCAATACAAATCGCAAGATGTTTCAAAGCACTGAGTATACTTTAATCTAGTGAAAAACATGCAGCATTTATTCCGGACCAGAATAGTAGATATTTTTAGCAAAATGAAAAATTGGTTCCAAGTACAGTACTCCTACTTTTTTACCTCTATTTGTGCGATTTTACGCAACTCCACTATACCAAACGTACTTCGAACTAGAAAAAGAGCCTTGACGTCTTTTTCTAAATCGTGAAAAAAAAGAGGTAAATCGATTTTGATTGGCTCATGCTATTGAACTTTAAATACCATTACAGATATTATTAATAGTAAGTATTGAATTGACAGTGACTGTGAAGCAAGGTACCGGTACATTCTCGCGGGATTTCAATTATTGATTGTGAAACCCAACGTAACATTGATCGATGTTCCGCCAACAATATTTATCTTTCAGGTCGATTGGTAGAAAATACCTGCAGAGTTGGCACTTTCCGAGCCAAAACGATCGACTCGTGCACTGATACAGTATATACTTTAGCTCAGTTATTAACTTTCGACAGTTCATCCAGCGCTAGGACGTCAAGGCAGCAGTTGCATGGTTGAGCCAGGAACCGGGGTAAAGTACTTGTTCTTATCTCGAGGGGTCAGCCAGTTCGGGTCGCAGTACGAAGTGCACGTATGGTGCGCGAAGAATGTGCTTATACCGAGGTCGCCGAGATCCGTGGGGCCGTACTTCCGCGACGGCGACATGATCACCGGGTCCGTCAGCACTACGCCGCGCGAGTACACGCCGCCTTGGAGGTCACAGAGAAGCACACAGCGGTGGCTCATATGGTAGCTAAAGTGACTTAGGGATTGAAGCCACTTGCAGTGGTTACGGCTGTTATTAGTCCATCCCGTGTTCGAGTTGAACTTGGCAATGTTGGCAATGTACGGCTCCACTAGCGCCAGTTCCCCTGGCGGACGGCCAAACCCGGCTTGCACTGTCCATAGAGATGGCACGTTCACCCAGACCTGGCCGCGGCCTTGATTGATGTCGGCGGTGTTGAACTCGTCCACGATCGCCAGCGCGCGACCGACCACCTGCGCTTCATGCGCGAAGTACCGCTCTTGGAATACACACCCCGATCGAAATAGCTTGAGAACGCACGGCTTACCTTGGCGGTCCCCGTCCGCGTACTTGCCGCGGTACACGGTCTTGAACGAGCCGGAGGCAAACGGTTGCGTCATGTCCATGTGCGCCCAAGTCGACTCGTTATTCGTGCGGCCACAAAGCGGGAGCATCACAATGAGAATCGCACTCTAATCGACGTGTGTTTCTAACGGGCACGTGTGGCAGCGATTGCCACCGACGACTCGTCCCAGGGACAACGTGAGGATGTCGTCAGAGGAGTTTGTCGACTCATCGAGACGCTGGGTGGTGCAGCAACCTGAGGGGTGATGACTAGGAAGGCAACCTATCGACACACACGCACGTCCAGGAGTAGATCACATTGCACGTGCATGTCGGCAGTGATCATGCAGAAGCACTAACTAGAGGTACTGCATGAACGAACCCTTTGACAACAAGGCGGCGTGTCGACGCACAGTCAAAATGCAGACTGGGAGGTTGTCCGGATAATGCGATTTGGTCCTGTTATTCGGATTATTGGGTCAGAACAGGATCAACAACATGGGACTTGACCCAGTTGCGCGGGACGAAGATGCCGATGGAGCGATGATGACGATGATGCAGAACGAGGAAGGTTCGGACGTGTGGAGAAAGCGGTTGCGTGTGCATGACAGTGTGGACGCCCGAAACCCCTTTGGAACATGGTGCTCGGCCCAAGTGATCGAGGTGTACAGCAGCACCTCACCCACTGCTACTACTACGTCACGCTTATGCCGTCATGTGAAATCAATCGTAGGCGACGCCGCAGTCCGTTGTGATCCGATATCACGTCATGAACCCTACCTGGGACGAGCGATTGCCTCGAGATTCCACGCGTCTTGCGACAACTTCGACCCATGTACTGTCTCCTGTGACCACTGTCGGGTCCTCATGTTTAACAAGGCAAAGAACAACGACCTGCCAATCGCCGTGGGGACGCCCGTGCACATCTTCGACACAACCACATGGCGAGAAGCTCACGTCACATGCACCCGCATCGATCATTTGCGCGTCTTACCTGCAGGTACTTCCTTCGCTCGTCTTGTCCAATACATGCACTAATGCCTGTCGTCGTTTAGATTCTCCCACTGACATGTGGGTGCCGTTCACTCCGCAGTTCGTCGCTCCCTCGGAGAAGCAACACGCCCGCCGCATCCTTCTCTCGAACTCGTGTTTCGACCAGTACGTCCATGCCTTGCACCGGATGAACTTGCGTCTGCACGCTGTCGAGGGCGACGGCAACTGCCTCTTCCGCGCCGTGAGCCATCAACTGTACGGAGACGACCAACATCACGGCATCGTCCGTCGATTCTGCATGGACTACATGGAGCTGCAGCGGCATTTCTTCGAACCGTTCATCGTCGGCGACGCTTCTGCGTTCGACCGCTACGTCCGGCACAAGCGACTCGACGCCGTCTGGGGCGACGATCCTGAGCTTCAAGTACCCCATGGAACCTCCATTTAGAATCGCTTGACAGTCCTCTCCTCGTAGGCGCTGTGCGAACTGTACGACCGCCCCGCCCAAGTGTTTGCGTACGATGCCGCGGCAGGCGCCAAGCAGCTCCGCGTGTTCCACGATACGGTCACTCGTCCGCCGATATGGTGAGTACTATTCCAACTGTTTAGTCGATTTCTGAAATATGTAGTACTCAAGTATGCTATCTATATATAGTTATATATATTTTTTTTTCATTGTGTTGTGGTTTCTCGTTGGAATTGAAATCGATTTGATTGGCTACCTCCGATGAGCTCAAAATTATTAGCCAATCAAAACCTTCTCAATGAAATTCAACCAAGGAGTTCAATTGCACCCCCTCCCCAAATTTGTATCAAATCGGCAATATGATAATTCTCTTCTTTTTTGTCGTTGTTTGTAAAGGTCGATCGACCAATCAAAACCCGGCATTCTCAAGAAATGGCCCAATCACGTTCTCTCTTCAACCCTTCAACAACGAATACAAACTTCAGTATAAAATATAAATATGGAATGTTGAGAATGTATGTACGTGGTTGTAGCTTGAGCTTTTACGGCGGAGGACACTACGATTCCGTGGTCGGGCCATCGCATGCTTCCAACTTTGTCAGGTACGACAGGTCCAGGAGATGATCAAGGCGGCGATATGCGGCATATGTAGGGACGTTCCCGGGGCGTTTGAAGCGAGGAAGGTTGCGATGATCCAGCAAAAGCAGTGGAGCTCGGAAGAAGCCACGGTGCTCGAGGTAAGACAAAAAGTGCATCAGGACCTTTAACGGCTGTTTTGATTGTAGCTGTCGCGAAAAGAGTTTGGCAAGTCGGCGCTGTCGTTGGACGCGGCGCTGTGTGCTTCCGTCGAGTGTTACGAGGCCGAAGTCGCCCGCAGCGTCGACGTGGCGGAGGTCCTGACGGTGCAAGCCGAGAGCGAACTGCACCACCTCCAAGTCTGAAGTGATGAGAATGGGTCTGTGCATGATGGAAACGTTGTTGTAGAATGAGATGTTGCGAAGTGCCGCGCAGCAGAGCGAGGACGACCTTCTCCAAGCGGCGCTGGATGCGTCCATGGACCCCGTACGTTTGTTTAGACGACGAGGATTGACGACTGTGGACGTAGTACCAACATGAATTCGAGGCGGCGCTGGCGCTGTCGGCGGACGGACTGCATCAAGGCATGTACATGGAAGGAGCGCTTGACGAAGAAGACGAAGCGATGCAGCAAGCGATTCAAATGTCCATGATGCAGTAGTCAGGGGGAGGTGTCAAGCATGATTAGTACATTACAGACACGACTAGATGGACCTAGCTCTTGGTGTGGACACATTAGGTCATCGACACGTCGTCGGTCACGTCCGCCACTTCCACGGCATCGATCTAATGCACAGTGAGATGAGACAAGGAAACTGAATGGACGACGGACATAAGGTTGCAACGCGGAGCCTTCGATGATCGTAAACGCTTGGTTCACCCCCACGACACCGATCGAGATGTTGGTCGCAGACAGCTCCTGGTTGCCTTCCAAGCACCCTCGGATCGCCTGGAGAGCTTGCTTGATCAAGTCGTCCTTGCCCACTAATGCGAAGGATGAGAAAGGACGCAAACATGCAGAGGGCAAGAAAGTACATGGAGGGAACGTCAGGTAGTGCTTTTCCAAGTATGTGCGCGCAGATTGGGAACGAGCACCGATGGCAATGCCGTTGTACTCGTAGTAGTTGCCGGAAGGACACGTCTGGAAGAGGTGGGGGCCGTTTTTCTACTCACATGCACATGAGCAAGGATGAAGAAGCCATGATGGAGTTGTACATCCACGCCCGCAACGAGCAGACCCACGCCATACGGACGTCGCACGTAGGACTGTGTGCACTCTTGCTTCTTGTCGGCGACATCGCTCACGAGACGAGCAACGGGAAGCGCGCTGCCGTACACGAACTTGTGGTTGAGAGATTCCGTACGCATGAACCGCGCCAACGAGCGCGCGTCTGCCGTCAACCCAGCGATGGCAATGCCCATGTGGGTGTCGATTTCGAACAGCTTTTTCGTCGGGTCGGCCAATTGTTCGGTCTGGACTCGCTTGATGGCGGCCAACACGACCGTGGTGTTGCTGCGAAGACCAAGGCACGCAGCCCCTTGCTTGACGGCCTCCATGGCGTAGTCAATCTGATGCAGATGACCCTGGGGACTCCACACAGTCACATCCGTGTCATATTGATTGCGGAACATGGTGCTGTTTGCTTCGGTTCTCCGCCTCAAAAATGTGCGATTGGGGGAGTTGAATATCTTCCTCTCGCACTTGATATCATGTTTCGCAAGGTTTGACCCCAATATCTTCAAGAATAAGTATTTTTGAGTATTTTCGACTATATATTGATTGGCTAGATCAATTCCCATCATTTTTTGATAATATTATTCTGTTAATGCCGATTGGCTGATATTCCGCGACAAGCCATTTCATTGGGCTTCGTTGGCATTCCGTCTATTTACTGTTAATTTGAAATGGAATTAATTTATCCGGATATCAATATCCTGATCCGATTTCACCAGCGTCAACGTCCGCACTCATTTGTGGAAGTTCCCTGAAGTCGTTGGTTGTCGACATCATGGCTCGTGTGTTTGTGCCCCTCGCGGCGCTAGCGATCTCGTCCGTGGTCATTGCTGTCCTTCGCCGCCGCGCCAAGAAGGAGCGTCCGTTTCCCTCTGTCCGCACGCCGCTCAAGCGCGTCCCGCTCGATGAACTGCCCAAGCTCAAGAACGACCTGCTCATCCGAGCGTACTTGGGCCAGCCCACCGAGCGCGTCCCCGTGTGGTGCATGCGTCAAGCCGGTCGCCACTTGCCTGAATTCCGCGCACTTCGCCAAGCCGGCTACGACTTCTTCACCGTACGTCCTCCAACCTTTCCATCGCTTCTCACGTGTGTGTATACATATGTATATATAGATGTGTGGGGTCCCCGAACTCGCGGCCGAAGTCACGCTGCAACCCGTGCGTCGGTACAACGTCGATGCCGCCATCATCTTCAGCGACATCCTCGTCGTGCCTCAAGCCATGGGGATGGAAGTGATTATGGTACCCGGAGTCGGTCCCGTCCTCCCGCAGCCGCTGCGCACCCCCGATGACCTCGACCGCCTCATCGAACACCCCGACATCGAAGCCACGTTAGGCTACAACTTGGACGCGTTGAACCTGACTCGTCAACTGCTCAAGGGTCAGGTGCCGCTCATCGGGTTCTGCGGCGGTCCGTTCACGTTGCTCACGTACATGGTCGAAGGCGGGCCGTCTAAGACCAAATCCAAGGTCAAGGCATGGCTATACAACCACCCCGAAGCCGCCCATCGCGCCCTCCATGCTATCACAGACGTATGCGTCCGCTTCCTCCTGGAACAACATGCCGCGGGGGCGCAAGCGCTCCAAGTCTTTGAAAGCGTCGGCGCCGAAGTGCTCACCCAGGCTCACTTTTACGAGTTTGCATTCCCGTACATGGCGCAAATCGCCGAGCGCGTTAAGGATAAGCTGCCGACTGTGCCGCTCGTCGGGTTCTCCAAGGGTACCCCCTATGCACTTGAAGCATTAGCCCAAACCAAGTACGACTGCCTGGGACTGGACTGGACGGTGGACCCTGCCGTGGTGCGGAAACAGGTGGGCGACCGCGTGAGCCTCCAGGGTAACTTGGACTCGGCGGCGATCTACGCCGAGCCAGACACGATTCGCGGCGAAGTCAAGAAGATGCTGGACGCGTTCGGAACGCAAAAGTACGTGGCCAACTTTGGACACGGGTGCAATCCCGACTTTGACCCCGAACGAGTCGACGCATTTGTCAAGGCCGTGCAACAACTGTCTTTGCAGGCTTCGACGTAATAACGAACGTTTACTAAACACACAATCGCGCGTTTTTTATTCGACGAGTTTAACGCGCTCGCAAATGTGTAGTAGTACTACTACTGGTAACGTAAAGAACCAATAGATGGCCTGGGAGATGCAGGAAATGAACGAAAACTCGCGATTATCTAGCATGTCGACTAAGTCTGTCCTTCATGCAACATGCTAACATTATTTCAAAATGTTGACTTCATACGTGAAAACACGAGGATGTTGGGATGCAAGTATAACGGTGGTGTATACTAGTACCAATTTGCCAGATCTCCGACACCTTGTCTTACGGTATTCTGTACCTGAGTCGCAATGTTTGTTGTATTATATCAACTTTTTATATAGAACTTTGTATTAAATTGTTTTATATGGTTTTGAACGTTGCATGTGGAAATGCATGATCTTTTAAAAATGGACATGCATACATGCGCTCCCACATGTGCGCATGTGCGGAAAGTCCAAGCGCAGGTGGTCAAATTCTCGGGAGCGACGCATGGAGGTGAGCTGAAACTGTGAGATCATGTACTCCACATGTTTAGGGAGGTAGTGCATGCAAACATTCTTACCTACATGGAGTACAGAGGACGAAAACGACGACCGTGGAGGACGAATTTGTAGTTTTTCGCGCACATGCGTGCACATGCGCATGAGATGCAGCTATCTATAGTTAGCTGCCACGGTGCAGGTTGTGATGTGCACATGTGCCGTGTAATAGTCTACAAGTTAGTATGCGTCCCATCCCTCGTCGTTATTCCTAGCCTATGTATTCACCCACCAAAGTTCCGCATTTTGCTCATGCGCGAATGCATCAAGTGTCGAATATTTCTCGCACATGTGCACAACTTGAAGGGTTAAACCAGGTATTTACCTCACCACCTGTCGGATAGGATGTGAAATTTAATTCCTGATCATACATTTACCTATATATTTATAGAAATTTACTATCCGTTCGCTACCCGTTCTATATCAGAAAAAAAACGTTTCATCCCCGCAAGCGCAGAATCATCAGTTTGTCAAACGAGCGATTTGGGAAAAAGGAACGAAAGGAGTCAGCAATTCTGTGAACATCACGGCAATGTCCGTTTACATGTTCACGGTAGTGGATCGCAATGTCAAATTTACGGCCTGTTCCTGCATCTCCCCGAAAATCGACCCTTACAGCATATTACGTTTTCTCCACACAAAGTCAAAATTGTGGAGTTTGAGAAGATCAGTAGATGGCCCTAATTTCCAGTTTGCTGTGAATACAGTAATTACAGCTATTAATAGCAGTGAATACAGTACTATACACTAAAAACAGTGTGGGCTCGTAATAATTCTATTGTTGGTATGAACCATATTCACTAGAGTTGATATGTAATTTAATAGTTTCGTCATGAAAAGTGTTTCTGATATCGCGCAATCATCTACTGGGTTTTTACGTTACGCGTTTTATTCGACGAGTTTAACGTTCATCGCGTCCGCAAACACCTAGTTCCAATGACTTGTTTGAAACCTCGAACACCCCAATATATATGGACACTGTACCGTAAACATGGAACTGACGCTCTCCATGCGCTGACTGTGCTCGCGCTCGAGCGCAAACAATTTGGTCCTTAACACATCCACGTGGGTATGTACCGCCGTGCATTTCCCGTCCACTTGGTCTATTCTGCGCCCCACACTCGACACTTCGGCCTACACTCATGACCAACACTCTCGTCGTTGCAAACCTCCATATTACTACTATAACGTTATGTTTGATCTTACCTGAGCATGATGAAAACCTTCTTCCAAAGCGGTCGTAAGTCGAAGCTGGTGGGTTTGCACAGTACTGAGCGCCTGCTCCATCATATGCAAGTCGTCCAGGCGCTGTTGGGCAAATGCCTTCAGGTCTCGCTGGTGCAACGCGGTCGACACTTCGAACCCGTGCAGCTGGTCGGTTATGGATTCCACTTGCTTTTGCCACTGCCCCCGCAGCGCCGCGGCTTCGTCTGCCATCGCTTTCGATCGGCTCATGTGGTCGTGGCGGAGTTCGTGCACTCGATCCTTCGTCTCCATCACATCTCGCTGCAGCGCCTGCATCCACTCGACGTTGTGGCTGTGGCTAGCTTTGAGGATCTCATTGTCTTTGGCCCAGTCCCTGGGTACGCATGCTACTTGGTATATACAGTCTCAGGTTGAGTCAGTAGTACCGCTCTTTGAGATTCCATACGTCCCACGTGCGCTTGACGCTGTCGAGCTCCCTTGATGCTGCCGTCGACTGCTCTCGTTGCCGCTCCATCTCCACTTCCAGCGCATGCAGTCGTCGATTCGAGTCTTTTCGCACACTGTCCACCTGTAGTGTTGACAACGTCAGTTCGTTTGCTAAGTTGTTCGTTGGTTCGTTCAAGAACCTCGGCCATCAACACGTCCGACAACGTCTCGAATGCTTGCTTGAGTGCCCCCAGTTGGGTGCTAAAGTAGGCAAACGTCGACTGCGATTCCATTTCGAGTGTCAGCTGCTCGGCTGCATCCTTTTGTAGGGTTTTGATCTACGAGAGAACTATCAAGGACAGATCGATCTTCGTTGGTGGGGTTCGTACAGCTTGGCGAATTTGGTTCAAGTCAGACAATGGCTTCTTGGCTTTGGCCAGCTGCGACGCCGTCACCCGCAGGACCGACGTCATGTTTGCAATAACGTTATTGCGTCGGTTCACGATACCCTCCTTAATTCCATACTTGGTGCCGTAGAAACCCTTTAGATTTAATACAATGGGTAGTTTTTGGTCAAATGAGTACAGTGTACTACAGAATCGAATGTTCCTATGGCCGTCAATTATGTTGGGGACAACCGTCGAAGCTGGAGGACGGCCTTGGCGGCGGTCTTGAGCGACGTCCGCTTGCTGAGTGTCCGCAGTCCCGAGAGCGCCGAGCTCAGCGGCACCGTGGCGTCGTTGGCAGTCTGCATCCATGAGTGCCGGAGCAGATCCTCCGCCGTCGCTCTACTCCACTGTCGTCACGGCAGGTCAAAAGGAGGGAGTATGTACAGTACCGCTTGGAAGGATCTACGACGAGGGCCGCTTTGACAAACGCCTTGGCGCAGGGGGAAATGTCGTCCCAATACGGCGACTCAAAGGAGAAAACTCCGTGTTTGATCTTCTTGAACATCTGCGATGGGTTGTCGTCGAAGAACGGGAGGTACCCGCTGAGGAGAGCGAACGTGATCACGCCGACGCTCCACACGTCCACGGCTTTGTTGTACAGCCCGCGGTCCCCAGAGAGCACTTCAGGTGCCACGTACGCTGGCGACCCGCACATGGTCGTCAGGTACGACTCGTCCTTGGCCAAACCAAAGTCGGCGACCTTGATCACAGCCGTGCAGTCGTCGTGGCTGCTCAATAAGATGTTCTCGGGCTACGAGTGGGCCTGGTTATTACATAGGTATACGCGTGGCACTTGAAGTGCGTAGCGGACCTTGAGGTCGCGGTGGACAATGCGCTTGGCGTGGCAGTATGCGACGGCATCGACGACGGCGTGCACGACGTCTTTCGCTTCGCGCTCCGTGTACACGGACTAGATACAAGAACAAACATGAAAAATCACTACGTCTCTCGATAGAAGAACAAACCTTTTCGACGATGCGGTCGAACAGATCGCCGCCTTCCATGAGGTCGGTGACAATGTACCCGGTGGTGGATTCTAGGAAGTAGTCCTTGCAGGAGATGACGTTCGGATGATGGAGCTGCTGCAAGATCTTCACTTCGCGCTCGATGTTGTGCAAGTCCTGCAGCGAGATGTTGCGCAGATCCAGGCACTTGGCCGCATACGCCGTCCCGGACCCAATGTGCACACACTTGCGGACAACCGAGAACGCGCCTTCACCCAGTTTCTCGCCCAGATGGTACTGTGATCCAAACGTGATAGCAATGGCCTTTGGCTTGAGTAGAGCCTGCTTGGCAGGGCCCTCTGTCGCGCTGGGCGGACACAGATACGACCACCATGCATCCCATGTCGATCACCCCCAACTGTCAATGACTTGTTGATCATTAAAGTAAGCGAAGTTATCCGGAATTTCGGATAATATTCGTCAACTTTTGTAACCACCGCAAAAATTTCATTGTCCTTCGTCCAGCGGACGGTAGACGTTACAACAGTCCGCGTGAAGACTGCAGATTGGGGCATGCGATGGCTGTAAGTGACAAGGAGGACGCTGGTGAGTACAGGGTTTATTTCAAAGGAGAAAAAGGATGGTCATATGTCAAGAGTACCACGCTCATGTCCTTCCAGCTAACCCTCCCCCATGCCCTCGATGGATTCTACATGGACATTCCGGGGGGCCTCCAAGGTCTTTTCGAGGAGCGGCTCCTTTTTGAAACCCTACAACGCCTCGAACCCCGTTTTTTATGGGGTATGTACACGAGTGTGTCGGCGACAACTGGGCTGGCTGGATCCCGCTATCGGATCCACTTTCTGGGGTCTGAACTCCCTTCCACCATGCTGCTGGACGGACGCATGGTCGAGGAATTCATCTTCCGCGGCCGTTGTCTGCGTGTGTATGGCCGTGGATGGTTCTTCCGTGACAAGCGACTGGCTCGCCTGGACCTGGACGCTATCGCGGCCAGCACGGACCATGCCAAACCGTCGACTCATCCCCCACACCCAACCACCGCACCCCAAGCCACACCAGCTAAACGGCAAAAGACGGCCACCAAGGACCCCAATGCGTGGACGGACGTCCGCCGCAAGACACCATCGGTGGCTCCAGCGCCCTATCCTGTGCACTTGCATGGACGACCCTGGGCGTCGCCAAATGCATTTGCTGCTCTACATGAGCGATGGACGGTTGGACATACCGTGCACCGTGCCGACCACGATGGCGTGTCCTTTGAAACGATCACCCCCGAGGCGACTGCGAGCGACAGTGACCCTGTACACCACACTGCAGGCGAGTATGTGACGTGCCCGAAACCGCACAAGGGCAAAATCTCGCATGTCGAGGTGCCCCTCGATGACCTCATCGCCGAGCTCCAATCTCTCGAGGCCAAATCTACCGTGGCCATTCACCACCATGCATCCCACGTGGAAGCTGCTGTCCGAGGCAGTGAATTCAACCTCGCCGTTCTCGTCAATACTGGCAGGGTTGACTCAACTTGCACCTTCATGGAACGGCACCCTGAGGACTTTGGGATCCAGCTACACCATCTCTTTGCATCGGACCGACCCACGTTCGAACTGTTCCTCCGCCAGCGGCTCCTGCACCGGTGGCTCCGAGTCACATGGGGCGGCTCGGCGTCGTTCGATCAGCTCTATACCAAGTCATTTGGCACCAATATGTCCAGAGACTCAGTGGCCGAACTCTTCCGAGCCTTGCAACGCTCTGACACCCTTGAACCCATCACCTGCGAGACGGATGATGGTGACGAGTTGACCCTGTCGCGCTTCGACCTGGAACTTGTGTTGGCACTAGCCGAGGTGCTTGTTGCCGCACACAGCCCCCTCTTACTATGCATCCGACGCGGCCATCATGGCCTCCACGGGATCCTCCATTGAGGCCATCCCAACTCACCGCGGACTGCGTTCTCTCCAGGCTCCGACGATGCTGAATGTTCTCATGACGACCTGCATGGGCGAGGAGCTGTGGCGCATCATGGAAACGATGTTTTCTGGTGATGATGACATGCATCGAGTCATGGTCTATCTCGCTGACATTCATGCGAGTGGCTACATCGACATTTCTTGCATTGGCACCACACGTTGGAACCAGGACTCGGGCCGTTTTGGCGTGGACAATGGCCAAAACAACGAGTCTGCCACCCAGTTTGACGATTCCACCGCGACCCCAGGGGTCGGCCTCCAGTACTAAGGTGCTCCCGGCCAATCTCCTCGACCCAACCTCCACCTTTTCCATGACAACCTGCAACCTGAATGGCCTTAAAATCAATGGCCATCTTGTGGCTCGGCGTCTCAAACAACCTCCAACCTGCGTCGTCTTCCAAGAAACGAAGATGCGCGATTCTAACCAACTCGACACCTTCCACCACCATCTCAACAACGAAGTTGGTGTTGGCAGCTACACTCTCTTCACCAACGATCCACGGACAACCAGTGTCGACCCAGTACACCGTCGCCACTGTGGTGTAGCCAGCTTTTTTCACAAGTCCATGCCTGGCTATTCCTCCCTGGTTCACCTGGCTAACCACGACGTTCCTGGCCGCTACCTGGTGGCCAGAACTGTGTGGAGTGGTTTGCCAGTCTACATTCACAGCATCTACACGCCCGTGGAGCCGCATCTCCGTGGCGCTTTCTTTGCCCTTTTGCCTCGTGACTTCGAACACAATGGCCTACACCTAGTGGGTGGCGACTTCAATATGCCACTGCACACATCCCTCGATGCCACGACGCCCCATTCGAGCCAAGCAAGTGGCAAACAGGACTGCGTTGAGTGGCTAACTGCACTTGGTGTGGTGGATGCGTGGCGCCAACTCAACCCTACTACACAGCTCTACAGTGATCCTGGGCGTGGGGGTCAATCGACTTGATTATCTCTTCCTACACGACGAGCTGGTCTCTCACCTCAACCCCAAGGCTACGTATGACCCAAACCACTTTGGAGGCGACCACCTCACCCACACCGCGACTCTGTCGCAGAGCCCATCCACCACAACAAAGGGCTACTGGCGGCTACCACGGGAGTTGCTAGCTGACCCCGACATCCAACGAGCCATCACCACGGAGGCCTCAGCGCTCCTTGACCGAATGCGAGCCGACGAGAGTCTCAACCATGGTGCGATGTGGTATGGCTGGCTGAAGAGAATGCGCCGCCAGCTCATCAAATGTCATCGGCTACACACCCAATCGACCAAGGCCAATCTACAACACCTAAGCCTCCGACTGGCTACAGCAAAGCGAGCCCTGGCATACTACGGTGACCTGTCCACCCACGTTGCCGATGTAGCTGCAGCTCAGCTAGCTTACGACACTGCCAAGGCCGAGCACAGTCAATATGCTCGCGACCGGCAATTCGACTTCCACGCCAACTCCAATGAACGAGGCACCTCTCACTTCTTTCGGAAGCCACTGGGAACCAAGGTGCCCATCAACTGCGTCACAGTGGATCGCACGACGACCACAGACGTGCCCACAGTCCAACGTGTACTTACAGCCCACTG